GTCCTTCAGTACATAGAAGCTTGTATTTTTGATGAAGTCCAGCCTACCTATTTTTATCTTTTGAGCCTGTGCTTTTGGTGTCATATCTAAGAAACCATTGCTAAATCCAAGGTTGTGGAGATTTCCCCTATGTTTTCTTCTATGAGTTTTCTAGATTATGCTTTTATACTTATACCTTCAATAAATTTTGAGTTGATTTTTGTATATCATGTAAGAGTCTAACGTTACGCTTTTGCATGTGAATTTTTCTCTTGTTCCAGTATCTTTTGTTGAAGAGACTTTTTTCCTATTGAACAGTCTTGGCATCTTTTTTGAAAATGAGTCAGCAATACATGTGACGGTTTAATTCTAGATTCCTAATTCTATCCCATTAAGCTATATGTCTATCCTTACCTAGTACACACTTTTGATTCCTATAATAGCTTTGTGATAAGTTTTGAAATTGGAAAATATGAGTACTCCAATTGGTTCTTTTTCAAGATTGTTTTGGCTATTCAGAGTCTCTTTTAATTCCATATAAATTTTAGGACCAGCTTTTCCATTTCTGCAACAACAGAAGGCCATTGGGATTTTCGAAGGGATTGCATTGAATCTATAGATCTCTTTTGGCAGTACTGCCATCTGAACAACATTGTCGTCCAAACCATGAACACAGGATGTCTTTCTGTTTATTTAGGTCTTCCGTTTCCACCAACAATATTTTATAGTTTTCTGTCTTACATGACATTGGATAAATATATTCCTAAGTATTTATTCTTTTTGATGCTCTTAGAAATGGAATAATTTTTTATAATTTTCTGTTGGTGTTTTTAAAATTTTCATTTGTCTGCTTGGGTTTAGATCTACAATCTTACTATTTGATTTTAATTTTTTCAAACTATTTTGCATTCTTTTTCTGTCTTATCTTGTCTTCTTCTTTTTATTATTTGTTTCCCTCTCTGTTACTTTGTTAGTTATGCATTCTTCTATTGTTTACCCTAAAAATTATGATATGCACTTTTGACTTATAATAGTCTAATAGAAATAGTTACTTCAACCATTCCCCCATTAGTGACCTTCTGACCCTCCACCTTTTCCACTTTATTACTATGCACGTTAGTTTTACATGTATTTTGTATGTATTTTAAGATGGTGTGTGTTTTTTTTTTGGCACAAAGAGTATTCATTTATATTTTCCCACAGTCATCCCTTTTGTTGCTCTTAATTCATTTTGAATTTCCATGTTAGAGCATATCCCTTTTGTCTAAAGAATTTTCAAGCATTTCTTTTAGTGTGGTTTGCTGATGACTCACTTTTCTGTTTTTTTGTTTTGTTTTTTTTGAGACGGAGTTTCGCTCTTGTTACCCAGGCTGGAGTGCAATGGCGCGATCTCGGCTCACCACAACCTCCGCCTCCTGGGTTCAGGCAGTTCTCCTGCCTCAGCCTCCTGAGTAGCTGGGATTACAGGCACGCGCCACCATGCCCAGCTGATTTTTTGTATTTTTAGTAGAGACGGGGTTTCACCATGTTGACCAGGATGGTCTCGATCTCTTGACCTTGTTATCCACCCACTTCGGCCTCCCAAAGTGCTGGGATTACAGGCGTGAGCCACCGCGCCCGGTCCACTTTTCGGTTTTGTCTATCTAAAAGTGTATTTGCCTTCATTTGTAAATAATATTTTTACTGCCTAGAGAATTATAGATTTGCATTTATTTTCCTTCAGCTTTTTACATAAGCCATCCCATTGTTGCCTGGTTTTCTGAAGTCAACTCTGAAAGTTACTGTCGCTTCCTTGAAGGTAATGTCTCTTTTCCACTGACTGCCCTTAACATATTTTTCTTTGGTTTTCAGTCATTTAATATATGCCTAGCTGAGGTTTTCTTGTATTTATCCTTCCTGCAGTTTGCAGAACTTCTCAGATCTGTAGGTTGTTGTCTTTAATCAGTTTTGAAAAATCCTTACCCATCATCCTTTTATGTATTGCCTCAGCCTCGTTCTTACTGAGCTCTCTTCTTGAGATTGTATTTACATGTATTGGACCTTTTTTGTGTGTTTTACATGTTTCTTGTGCTCTTTTCTGTATTTTGCGGTCTGTGACCCACTTTCTGTTTGCGTATTTTCTCTTACCTTGTTTTCTGTTTTGCCAGTCCTATCTTTTGATATCGCTAATAAGTCCTTAATTTCAGTAATTATATATTTCAATTATAGAATTTTAATTTGATTCTTATAATAAATTCTGATTTTCTGATGAATTTTTTAATCTTTCATTTTACTGAAGGTGTTAGTCATCATTACATCTTGTGTGTTGGAAAGCTGGATCACCACTTGGAATGCCCAGTAATTTTTACTGAGTGCTAGACATTATAAAATATTAGTGAGGTTCCAGGTACGTTATATTACTGTAGAAAAGATTAATCCTCTTTTCTGCTTAGTAGATAAATGGGAAAAGATCAGTTTATTTTTATTTATTTATTTAGAGACAGGATCTCACTCTGTCTCCCAGGCTGAATACTTGGTGATCATAGCTCACTGCAGCCTCAGTCATAGCTTACTGCAGCCTTGAGCTACTGGGCTAAAGTGGTCCTCCTGCCTCTGCCACCCAAGTAGCTGAGACTACAGGCATATGCCACCATGCCTGGCTATTTTTTTTTTTTTTTTTAAAGTAGAAATAGTTTTGCTGTTTTGCCTAGGCTGATCTGAAATTCCTGAGCTCAGGTGATCCTCCTGTCTTGGCCTCCCAGAATGCTCAGATTATAGCCATGAGCCACTGTGTCCGGCCACTAGATCACTTTAATTCAGTCAGGAACTGAGCTGAGTAGACGCTACATTGCAGTGTTGGTAAGTCCCTCCCTCTGATTTGTCTCTGCTACTAGGATGTTAGTCTTTCAGTACTTCTCAGCTGAAAGTCTGTTATGTTGAGTTGCTCTGCAGGGGTTGAACTGTGATTCATGTCTCTTCAGACTAATAAGACTGCCAAAATCTCTACTCTGTTCTTCAGAGGCTTTCTGCTTAGCTTCTTAGTGTCCTTCCCTGTGTAGCTTTAGAATTTTCAAATACACAGAGAGAAAACTGCCCCTGTGTAAGGCTCAGTCCTTCCCACTTCTCACTTAGATCTTGTTTCTTTCGTTTCCAATTTTGTCTCTATAGCCTCGCAAGACCACCTACAGCTCTGCTGGTTTCTCAGGTTCTCCAGCACAGCCTAAGCAAAGCTTGATTCCTAGCCTCTTGTCTTACACCCGGTTCAGCAAATGCCTCCATGGAAAAGTGGCCTGTATATATCAGGCTACTTGTTTGTGCTTTCCTGCTATTTGAATTCTTATTTCTTCCAAAGTTCCTTAGCAGTTCTCCAATGGCTTTAAGTAGATAACTTAAAACTTTTTTTCTCTTTAAGTTGTTCTTGATGGAAACATTGGCCTAATACAGAGTACTCTATCTTTCTTAGAAATGAAAGTCACATATAGTTTATTGTTATATATCAGTTATTATATTCTTTTTATAGTTCTTTGAAACCAGTTTCTTTAAGTGACTCTTGATCTTCTAATTGTATTATGTATAGGAGGCTTCTGGAAAATAATATACATCAAGGTAGAAACAAATTGATTGATGCATCCACATTAGGAAGGCCTGGTGGTGAAAATATCTCTAACCAGTTCAAAATCAGTAATGACTCAAACTATTATATAAATAAATGGGGAAAATATTCCATAGTCAAAAGCCCAGATGCACATCCTTTGGGATATTTTATCTGTTCCTGTGGTTGTAATGATTATTTTACTGTGGTTTTATGTTTGGGGCTACTATTTTTTTTTTTTCCTTAATGTTAGCTTACAGCATGAGCTTTGTTTTATCATATGATTTCACACTATAAAGAACTCTGTTTAAAATGTTTTGTAAAATGTAAAAAAGGCCTGGTGGCTTACACTTGTAATCCCAGCACTTTGGACAGCTGAGGTGGACAGGAGTTTGGGACCACCAGCTTGGACAGCATGGCAAGACCCTGTCTTTAAAAAAAAAATACAAAAATTAGCCAGTTGTGGTGGTGCGTGCCTGTGAGCTACTCAAGAGGCTGAGGTGGGAAAATTGCTTGAACCTAGGAGGCAGAGGTCTTGTCCCTGCACTCCAGCCTGGGTGACAGAGCAAGAAAGACCCTGAAAAAAAAAAAAAAATTTGAAACCAAAATGGGAGACCTTCTCCCACCTTCAATGCCTAAATTACTACTATGTTATTACTTACCTTTCTCTCCTTTTCTCTTTTTTTCTCCTATTACTTGTTGTCCTCTCTCTCCTGTAGACAAAAGTTAATTGAAGATTTAGAAATTGAAATACTTAAAAGAGTCCGGGTATGGTGGCTCATGCCTATAATCCCAGCACTTTGGGAGGCCAAGGCTGGTGGATCACTTGAGATCAGGAATGTGAGAGCTGCCTGGCCAACATAGTGAAACCCCGTCTCTACTGAAAATACAAAAAATTATCCGGCCGTGGTGGTGCATGCCTGTAATCCCAGCTGCTTAGGAGGCTGAGGCAGGAGAATTGCTTGAACATGGGAGATAGAGGTTGCAGTGAGCCAAGATCACACCACTGTACTCCAGCCTGGGCGACAGAGCGAGGCTCCATCTCAAAAAAAAAAAAAAGGAATACTTAAAAGAAGAAAACTAAAATTTCTTGTAACCCTGTCACCAATAGTACCACACTTTTGAACACTTGATGCACGTCTTTTGTGGATTTATTCTTTGTAAAATGGATATTGTCAGTGGTTCTCAACCCTGCTTCTTCATTAATATTGCCTATAATACCTAAAATATACATATAGATTCTCAGATACACCTCACATTTAACTAAATTAGAGTCTTCAAGGGTAGGTAGGGCTGGGACATTTTATTGAAAAAAACTAAAAACTCCCCTTCAGAAAATTTAATAACACTCAGAATTTTCTTTTAATGAAAGAGAATGTTGCAGTATTATTCAAAGCTTTAACTTGTTTACAGCTTTTTAACTAACTATTCAATTTTAACTTTTCCCTAGCCATTCCACCCTATGGTGAATCTGGATTGTTCTCGGGATTTCCGGCCTTTTCTTTGTGCTCTCTATGCTCCTATTTGTATGGAATATGGACGTGTCACACTTCCCTGTCGTAGGCTGTGTCAGCGGGCTTACAGTGAGTGCTCGAAGCTCATGGAGATGTTTGGTGTTCCTTGGCCTGAAGATATGGAATGCAGTAGGTGCGAAAATCATAGATTTTTATGCATCATTTCTTATGTTGCAATATGTTTAAAATTACTTGTCTTCTTTTGTACCTGTTTTGAAAAAAACTTTTTGAAGTGTACATATTAGTCATTAATTTTGAACAGCAATTTTATGGCCTCAGAATTGTTTGTTTGCTTATACATTTGAAAGCAGTAAATGAAAAACAAAACATTTCTGTGAAGAAGTTTTTTAGACTTAAGAATTATGTAATCAAGACAGTTGATTTTTCCTCCTTTAAAACCTTTTTTCTGATTATGAAAATAGTGCTATTTGTGAAAAATTATACAGAGAAGAAAATCATTTATTACTTCATCATTGCAGGGGCTTAAATACCTTTATGATTTAGATGGAGACTTGTAGAATGGTTCTGTCATTTCTTTTTTTTCTGTCATTTATTAACATACCAAATCCAGAAAATGTCAAATACTCTTCAAATTACATCCATTATATAGACTATAAGCATGTCTTAAAGTTGTGAGGATTTATTTGACATTCTTAAAGTTTCATATGAGTGAGCATTATTGTTAGTAATAATATTACCACAGAAGGATCTGAAAAAAAGTAATATAATATTTTACCTGTTTATATTCTGAACCATTTTAAGGGTAAAGAATAAGGTGAATACTTACGTACCTATTATTATCTAGCTTTGTCCAATTTTAACAGTTTATAATATTGGCTTCAGATTTTTTTTTTAAGAAACAATACAGGTACAGTTGAAGGTTTTTCCGTGTTACCCATCTTGAACTCATTATCTTTCCTCCCCAGGAGTGAGATAATCTTTATGTTGAATTTGTTTTAAAATCATTCCCATGTTTGCTTCTATACTCTTAACTATGTATATGCATATCCATAAACAACATAACATTTTTATATGTATCTATGTTTGTATTTGTAGGTTTGGTACATTCCTTTTAATTGCCATATAGTAGCCAATTGTATTAAGTTACTTAGCCTTCTCCTACTGATGGTCATTTAGATTGTTTCTAGGTTTTTGTTATTATAAGCAACATTCTCTTCTCCTTCATATTTAAAAATAATTTTGTTTGTTATCCAGCAATAGCCCTTGGAGGTAAGTAAAGTGACTGTTACTTGACAGATGGAGAGACTTAGAGACTTAAGAAATAATAAATCATGTATAGTAAGTCCTCTCTTAATGTTGTTGATAGGTTCTTGGAAAATGTGACTTTAAGCAAAGTGACATTTAATGAAACCAATTTGTTTTCTTTTCTCTTTTCTTTCTTTTTTTTTTTTTTT